TGACTGTAATTGTGGATTTGCGGGTTTCTCCTTTCACTTCATGTGTTTTGAAGCTCTGCGATTTGTTGCAAACTATTTAGGATTTTTATGTCTTGTTGGAGGGACTCTTGTAGTATCATACTTTTCTTTGTTGAGACGTCTTGCCCCTGATAATTTTCTTTGTTGAGGCGTCTACTTTATCTGATATTAGTGTAGCCACTCCGGCTGTGCTTTGGTCTTTGAAGAGCATATCTTTCCCCATCTATTTACTTTTTAATCTTTTAACTTACCTATATCATTATATTTGAAATGAGTTTGTTGTAGACAGTGTATATAGTTCGTTCATTTTAATGCACTCTGCCAGTCTCTGTCTTTTATTGTGTATTTAGACCATTTACACTTAATGTAATTGTCAATATGGTTGGACTTAAGTGTGCCATCTTATTATTTTTTTTCTGTTTGTTCTCTTTGTTTTTCTTGTGCTGTTTCCCGTTTCCTGCCTCCTGTAGTTTACTTGAATATTTTTTAGTTTTCCATTTTGATTTGTCGTATATATTTCTGAGTATATCTGTTTGTATAGCTCTTTTAGTGGCTGCATTACAAATTACAGCCCACTTGTGTGGGCATTTTACCACCTCAAGTGAAAGGGAGAAACCACCACCATTAGGTTTCATTTTCATCGCCCCTTTATATTGCAGTTGTCTTAAATGTACATAGCTTGAGAACTACATTAATGATAGGATTTTTTTTTTACAGTCATCTAACATTTTAAATAACTCAGAAGGAAACATTTATCCACATGTTACCTACCCATTTTTTTTTCTTCATTCCTGATGTTCCAGGTTTCCTTGTATCTTTCCTTTATACTTGAAGAGTTTTTGTTGTTGTTTTAACAATTATCTTAAAGTGCTGGTGACACATTCTCTTAGTATTTTTTCATTTGAGAATATCTTTATTTCACCTGTAGTCCTGAAGGTTGTTTTTGTTGGATATAGACTTCTGGGTTGAAAATTCTTTTCTTTCAGCACCTGAAAAATGTGACAGACCTTCGTAGTTTCTGAAGAATAATTCACTGCCATGTGAGTTGTGTTCCCCCTATGGGTAATGCCTTTTAAGTCTTTTTTTCTCTCTGTTGGTCAGAAAGGACAATTTTGTTCAATCTGTCTTTGCATTTACTCTTCAACTTTTTTCCTCGTGATCTCCATTCTGTTATTGAGCCACTCCTGTGTTTTTGTTTCAGTTATTTTTCATTTCTGAAGTTTCTTTGTTTCTTTATAGTATTTGTCAAGACTTACTAATTTTTCATTTATTGTAATTGCTCATTGAATTATTTTTATAACAGTTGCTGTAAAATCCTTGTTAGGTAATTCTGACTTCTGTCATCTCAGTGTTAGTGTTTATTGATTGTTTTTTTCTCATTCAAACTGAGATGTTACTAGTTTTTGGTAATTTTTTTATTGTATCATGGACATTTTGAATATTAAGTGGCGAGACTCTGTTTTTTGTTTAAGTCTCATTGCTCATTACTGGCACTGATTGGGTACTGCCTAACTGAGGTGGTAGACAGTCTCCTGTCACACACATGGCCTCTGCAGATGCCTGCAGGCTACCTCATTATAGCCAGGCTAGGATAGTAGTCAGGGTCCACTCACACAGTTGCTATGCTAGCTACTGTGCAAGGCCAGGTTTACAAGGTGCATTTTTTCCCCTTGGTGTTGGACTGGAATGGGCCTGATGTTGTCAGGAGTCTGTCCTAGAAGGCTTCCCCATCCTCGGCCTTTGACCATGGATGGCAGCAGGCTTACCCTTGTTTTTTGGTCAGTGTCTGCTGGCATTTCTGGGTTAACAGCTTCTTTGGCACTCAGATTGGGATGTATAGGAGACAAAAAAAACACACCAAACCAACCCAACTCATTCATTGCTTAACCATCTTTCTTTTCTTCTTTTATTGTTTGTTTTAGTACAGTTTACATTCAGTATTATTTTGTTTTAGTTTCATGTGTACAGCACAGTGTTCAGACAATCATATACTTTGCAGTGTTCCCCTGGATATTTCCAGTACCCACCAGGCACCATACATAGTTATTACAAACCTTGTTGACTATATTCCTTATGCTGTGCTGTACACCCCATGACTATTTTGTAACTACCAATTTGTACTTCTTAATCCCTTCACCTTTTACACCCAGTCCCTCAACCTCCCTCCCCTCTGGCAACCATCAGTCCATTGTCTGTATCTATGAATCCCTTTCAATTTTGTCTGTTTATTTTGTTCTTTAGATTATACATGTAAGTGAAATCATATGGTATTTGTCTTTCTCTGACTGGCTTATTTCACTTAGCATGATACCCTTTGGGTCCATTCATGCTGTCATAGATATTAAGATTTCATTCTTTTTTATGGCTGAGTAATATTCCATTGTATATATGGGGGCGGGCAAAAGCAGGTTTACAGTCGTGAGTGACATTCTTTTGAGTTAATAAAGCTATTGTAATAATCATCACCTGCATGTCTTTTTCCACATGAACAACTGTAAACCTACTTTTGCTTACCCCTGTATATACCAGATCTTTTTATCCACTCATGTATTGATAGGCATCTGGGTTGCTTTCATATCTTGGCTATTGTAAATAACACAGTAGTGAGCATAAGGGTGCATATATTCTTCCAAATCAGTGTTTTTTGGATTTCTTCAGATACATATCCAGAAGTACAATCACTGGGTCATAAGGTAGTTCCATTTTTATTTTTTTGAGGATTCTCTATACTGTTCTCCATAGTGGCTGCACCAATCCGCATTCCCACCAACAGTACATGAGGGTTTCCTTTTCTGCACATCCTTGTCAACACTTGTTTATGGATTTATTGATGATAGCCATTCTTACAGGTGTGATGTGGTATCTCATTGTGTTTTTAATTTGCATTTCTCTGATGATTAGTGATATTGAGCATCTTTTCATATGTTTGTTGGCCACCTGTATGTCCTCTTTGGAGAAAGGTCTATTCAGGTCCTCTGCCCATTTTTTAATTGGATTGTTTGCTTTTTGGGTGTTGAGTTGTATGAGTTCTTTATAACTTTTGGATATTAACCCCTTATTGGATGTATCGTTGGCAGATATCTTCTCCCATTCAATAGGTTGTCTTTTCATTTTGTTGATGGTTTCCTTTGCTTTGCAAAAAAATTTTAGTTTGATGTAGTCTCATTTATTAATTTTTTCTTTTGCTTCCCTTGCCCTAGAAGATATAACAGAAAAAATATTGCTAAGAGAGATGTCAGAGATTTCACTGCCTGTGTTTTCTTCTAGGACTTTTATGGTTTTGAGTCTTACATTTAAGTCTTTAATCCATTCTGAGTTTATTCTTGTATATGGTGTAAGAAGGTGATCTAGTTTCATGTTTTTAGCATGTATCTGTCCAATGTTTTCAGCACCACTTATTGAATAGACTGTCTTAATATTATTGTATGTTATTGCCTCTTTTGTCAAATATTCATTGACTATATAGGTGCACTTATTTCTGGACTCTGTATTCTGTTCCATTGATCTGTGTGCATGTTATTATCTCAGCACCATGCTGTTTTGAGTACTATGGCCTTGTTTGTAGTATAGTTTGATACCAGGTAGTGTGATACCTCCAGCTTTTTTCTTCTTTCTGAAGATTGTCAAGATTGTTTGGCTGATTGTTATACATTTTTGGAATATTTGTTCTAGTTCTGTGAAATGTTCCATTGGTATTTTGGTAGGAATTGGACTGAATCTATAGATTGCTTTGGGTGGTATGGACATTTTAATTATGTTAATTCTTCCTAACTATGAACACTTGATATGCTTCCATTTATTCGTATCTTCTTCAATTTCTTTCTTCAATGTGTTATAATTTTCCTAGTATTGGTCTTTTACCTTCTTGTTTAAATTTATCCCTAAGTATTTTTTTTATTCATTTGTAAATATGATTTTTTTTTTTTAGTATCCCTTTCTGATAGTTCATCATTGGTGTATAAAAATGCAACTGATTCCTGAGTATTTATTTTGATTCTGTTACTTTACTGAATTAATTTATCAGTTCTAGTATTTTTTGCATGTGGAATCTTTAGGGTTCTCTGTATACAGTATCATGTCATCTGCAAATAATGACCATTTTACTTCTTCCTTTCCAATTTGGATGCTTTTTATTTCTTCTGATTGTTTGATTACTGTGGCTAGGACCTCCAGTAGTATGTTGAATAAGAGTGGTGAAAGGGGACATCCCTGTCTTGTTTCTGATCTTAAGGGAAATGCTTTTGGTTTTTCCCCATTCGGTATGATGTCAGCTGTGGGTTTGTCATATATGCCTTTATTATGTTGAGGTATGTTCCCTCTATTCCCATTTTTCTGAGAGTTTTTATCATAAACAGATGGATTTTGTCAAATGCTTTTTCTGCATCTCTTGATATGATCATGATTTTTATCCTTTGTTTTATTTATGTGGTGTATCACGTTAGTTGATTTGCGGATATTGTACCAATCTTGCATCCCAGCAATAAATCCCACTTCTTCATGACCATTTTCTTCAGGTCCTTTGATAGTTGACCTTCTGTTCCCCACCCTTCAGAGTAGTCTGGTGTTTGTTTTTTGTATTGTCCAGGGTTTTTAGGATGAGAAATAGGGAGAAATAGGGTGAAATCTGTCTGCTCTGTCTTGTCTGGGACTGAAAGCATGCAAACCAGTTTCTTTAATGAAGACATTTTTTAAAACATAAATATTCCTGGGAAAGTATTAGTGTAATTTAGACCCAAACTGTCTTTTTGATTACAGAAACTTATTTTTGTAGTGACATTTATTAAATGGCTGCTTATTGGGCGTGTCATACAGAGGCATATGGTGCACAGAGCATGCAATCTGCCCTCACGTGTAACGGGCATGGAGTGGCCAGGTCAGCGAAATAGTGATCCCTGCATGGAGGCTACATAGGCAGTGGGGTGAGCAGCCAGGAGTGAAACTGGGAGTCCATTCAGGAGGGCGTTCCTGGCAACAGAGGGTGTTGGACGGAGAGGCAGTGGAGTGAAGAACAAGCAGGGGTTTGCAGACAGTTTGGAGGTGAACATAAGCTAAAACTGTATGCAGTTCTTGTTCTTGAGGTTATGATATATCGCTTTTATGACAATTTATTTTCAACTTCAAAAATAAGGTTAAAATCTCATAATTTTCTATTTCTTAGCTGAACTTCGGTCATTATCTATACCTGGAACTTACCAAGAAAAGATTACTCACCTAGGAAATTCTTTGATGAATTTAACAGGTCTAAAATCTTTAGATCTCTCGCGCAACTCCTTGGTTAGTCTAGAGGTAAGTTTTAGGTTTGTTTTTTCTTTAAAGGAGGAATTTGGGAGAGGTTGTTTTATTTTATTGTACTGTATTATTATTTTATTAAATCCTCAGCCAAAGACATGCTTAGAGAGCAGAAGGGGGGAGAGAGAGAGAGAGGAAAGAGAAACATTGATGTGAGAGAGAAACATCAATTGATTACCTTCCGTACATTCCCCAACTGGTGATCAAACCCATAACCCAGGTATGTATCCTGACTGGGAATTGAACCGGCAACCTTTCAGTGCACAGGACAATTCTCATCATCTGAGCCACTCTGGCCAGGCTCAGTTTGTTTTTTAAAAGAAAATTTCTTGCTATCAATAGCAGTGGAAAGTCTGTTTATAATTAAAACGACAATCTGTTTTATGACTATGCCTATAATATTTGTAAACTGTACACTTAACAATGATTTAAGCACAGGGTTGTTTTTCTTGTGTTTACTGTGAACTAGATTTCTTATGCATCACATTACATCTTTAAACTACTTTGACAAACCAAAGTCTTAGCTCTCTGATGAAACAGTTGTATCTTTAAAGGAATAAAATAAGGCCCAGAAGACTAATGTGTGTGTGTCCATCCCTCTCCATCCCTCTATCATTTGTATTTTTCTTTATCCACTTTCTGCACTGTACCTCTGTTTATAGTCTGCCTCTTGGTGGCTGCGGGCCCTTGAATGGCAGGGACACAAATGCAGGCTTACTGCAGGGGGCCTGACCTGACGGGCTCAGTCCTGGTGAGTGAGTGAGAAGTTACCTGGGTGATGGCAGGTGGCTTATATTTTAAAGGGGTTCTTGCCTGAAAGAAAGGCAGGACATCATTACCCTGGAACATGATCCTGTCAGTGCCCCTGACATGGGGTCAGGCACCTGCTCAGAGTCAGAGGAGAGTCCCAATCCAGGCTGCACCCAGTGCTGGCTCGTCTCTCAGCCCCCCCAAGCCTCAGTTTTCTAATCTGTGAAATGAGAGCAGTAATAGGGCTTACCCTGAAGGGTTGTATGTGATGGAATGAAGTTGTTTGTGTAAATCACTTAGCTTGGCACATGCCAATAATACCAGCTGTCCTTAGTAGTCACAATTGTTGCAAACTTCCCTGAACAGTCATATCACTGTGTGCAAGACAGAAATTTCATCTTTATGCTCTTCCTATAATAGTATGTATTCATTTTAAGTGCATTTGTTAAGTTGATCAGTTTGTACTGTGGCTCATATTGCTATGTGTTTATTTTTAAAAGCACAGACTCATTCAGCATTTTGTCCTGTTAACAGGGCATTCAGTACCTGGCTGCATTGGAAAGCCTCAATCTCTACTACAACTGCATTTCCTCGCTAGCAGAAGTGTTCCGGCTCCACTGCTTGACTGAACTCATGGACGTGGACTTCCGACTAAACCCTGTGGTGAAGAATGAGTCCGATTACCGCCTCTTTGTTGTGCACATGCTCCCAAAGCTCAGGCAGCTGGGTAGGTGCAGTGTGCTGAGGCCCTTGCTCAGTAGAGCCCTGACGAGTGTTTGGTGCTGTCAGATTATCCCACTGTGGATCTTCCTGAAAAGGGAAGTTACTTTCTACTCTGATAGCATGAGTCCCTCTTTCACAGGATGGGTCTTATAGGAGAGCCTCCTGGGAAGGTGACAGGGAGCCCCATGACCACAGATAATTGCCAGGAGGCCAGGAGCACAGGTGTAGGCTGGACTGTTTGGTCTCATTCTGTCTTTGCTTTCAAGCTATTTGACTTGGGCATGTTTCTGAACTTCTGGTGCCCTGTTTCCATGCATGGCCCCCGGGCATTGCCTTAGGCTCAGCTGGACAGCTGGATTCTACTGGTTTCCCATCTATCTGGAAAGATACAGAACTAGAAATTCATTGTGCCACACCCTCCCATCTGCCTCCCCACCAACCAGGAGGGGTCTTTGCTGTGAGCAATGTGGCCGCTGGTGCTTCTGATACTCCCTTATGTCACACTTCAAAGGGAGAGAACTGGAACATGAATCCAGGATGCACTGACCATGCAAATGGGGAAGGGAGGGCTTGGGTACTTCATCCCCTTGGTCCTGTGTGAAGGGTGGTGGTAAGTGCTGGGTAGCTGTGGTGCAGGAATGTCTGATTGAAGGGTATTGTCGTGTGCCCCAGTGATCACAGCATGTCCTCAATCTGCAGCCCCATTCACCTCTTGGCAAGGCTGGGGATGCATTCAGGGCACCTCCATCTCCTAGGTTCTGATCTAATGAAACTAAAGTGAGACCCACATCAGGGCTGCATTTGTCAGGGAAGATACTGCTCCACCACTGTTACTTTGGTAAATACTGAGCTGTGGGCAGACTGCCCCTCTGTGCTGTCTGTGTCCAGCCAGTGTCTATAGAAACCCATGTTTTGCATCTCTTGGCTGTGAGTAAATTTATGCATACCTCAGCCACTCGTGTCAGCTTATCCCCCAGTCTCCTCTACACTGCCTGGGCCTGGGAGCAGGGCTGGGCTGTGGGTATAGTGACTGACCCCTAAAGGCACACTCTTCAGTGTCAAACCTACTTAGAAATTCAATGTTTCATTTTAATTTTTAGATACTTGGGAGGAATAAGTGCTTCTGTTCCAACTTTTGACTCTAAGTAACTTATAAATAGTTGAATTTGGGTCTTTACAGAAACATTACAATCCTTATGGGAAGTTTTTGCAATCTTCAGTCTGAAATCATTACTTTTCCTTTGTTGTAAAAGTTTTAGGTTGAGAATTACACAATGTTTGTGTAGAGAAAGGACATGAGAGTCTTTCCACATGGGAAAGATATTTTCAGACATGAAAAAGGAACATAATTGAAAAAGTCATTTTGGGACTCATGGCCCACCCTACCTAGCAGGGTGCCCAGTAAGGACATAGCTCAGTTGTTTGTTCTTAGTAACTGAAAGGTTCTGGAGGGGTGTGGTGTCTGGGGTGGTGCGAGGGGCTGTGGAGTGGAAGTGGGGTCAGGGAGCAGAGCAAGCCACCCATATGGGTCTAGGGATTGTGGGGGCTGAGAGAATGTTACAAAGTCAAGAGAGATTCGCTTTGGGGAGAAAGAGTTTGCATTTGGTTTTAGCCATATTGAACTTGAATTTATAGTGTAATAGTCCAGAGAATTATTCTTAGAGTAAGGGATTTGGAACTGACTCAAAAGTAAAGTTAAGTCTCAGTGACTAGAATTGTTGTTAGCACAAAGGAGTGTCTACACTATGAGAGCAGATGCCGTATTGGGAAGTGTGGGAAAAAAGGCCAGAAGTTCCCAGACCGTGTCTCAAGGACGGGAGTCACAGGACAGGCCATGGACAGGATTAGGAAGGCAGTTGTGTCTTGAGGAGGAGCCCCAGTGTGCAGAGGCACTTCTGGATGGTTTTCACAGCTCCTTTGTTTTTCTTCTTTGAGAGTGATTATTGTACTATCATTCATTTACTCATTTCTTACTGAAATTATGTACTTTTGGGGTTGTGCCACAGGTTAATGCTCTTTGGGAGGCAGCTTCAGAACTTAACCACCATGTGTAACGTTAATTCTATGCTCAAACGTGTTGCAAGCTCCACCACACTGACCTTCAGCATTTGGGAATCACCTCATCTTCAGTACTTCCTGAGGAAGTCTGGGAGTTGCTGAGTAAAGAGGCGCCTCTGAGGCCCAGGGCATGCATGTGGGGACAGTTTAAACTTACCTCTTTTTCCCATTCCTGAGGATCTGAGGGTGCAAACGCTAGGCATAAACACACAGCTGGGATGTCTTCTCTCTTTAGCGTGTTCAGGATTCTCACCCATGGAGATTCTTAGCAGTGCTCAATGTGGTTCAAGAATCTCATGCAGCACTCAAAATGTACATTAAAAGAAGGGAGCCCAGAAGATGTGTCTGTATGTGAACTTGTTTGTATATTTATTTTCCTGCGGCAGTAGCCTGCCTCCAAAGGAGTGTCTGAGCAGTGAGCTATGTGGGAACAGGGCAGCCTCTTGGAATCAGCACCTCAGAAACCAAGTGTAGCCACCAGAACCCAGCATCCCTTTACTGGGTCTACTCAGTGCTGATGGGGGATGCTGTGGCGGGGTCAGCCCTGAGGGGACAGAAGGTCCAGAACAAGCAGTGGCAGCCCTGGTCATGTGTGGTGTGCTGTAGGGCAGTGATGGGGTGCTGGAAGGTGCACCTGCTTCATGGTGTCGTTTGCTAGTTTCTCTGGCATTTTCTCCTTAGATGACCGCCCTGTGAGAGAGAGCGAGCGGAAAGCATCGCAGCTGCATTTTGCTTTGGAAGAGTCACTTGACTCCGTACACAGCTTCCCAGCTATTTGCAGAGTTGGAAGGTATGAACACGAGTGGTGTTTGAATGTGGAAAGAAGTTGCTCGGGCTTATTTATTCATAGAATGACTAAAAGATATAAAGCCCTGTATTAACTAAAAGATGTAAATGTTCTTGTGCACTGATCTCCACTTAAAGGGCAGACATGCAGGAAGAGAGGAAAAGAGCAATGCCCAGATACCAGCTGGGGCTCCAGGAGACAGTTGGACGGAGTCTGTCTGTTGCCCACATTTTCTATACATTATTTTTTAATATTAAAATGTTTATTAAAGTAATACATGTAAAATCAATAACACGGAAGACTTATGATGATAAACAACAGTCCCCTCTCCCCACTGTCCAGCCCACTCCTCAGAGCAGCCACTTTCATTCACTTCTGTAATTGTTTCTGCTTCCTTCTGAATCCCCAGACAATACAAATTAATTGCCCTTTCTGGGTGTGCACACTTGAAGCAGGGCCTGACAGCTGCCATAGCCCCTTCGCCACCCCATGGTGACAGTTTGTGGACTGTGCCCTCCTATATTCTCTGTTCAGTGCCCTGTGGCCGGTGCTCCAGGCTCTGCTCTGGTGGGGCTGTAGGAACGTGTGCCCATCTGTGCCTCCCCGCTCCTGCCATCTGCATCTTTATGTTTAACTTTAGATTGTCTGGGTCGATAGTATTTAAATGTTCTGAAGCCATAAAGGGTCTTCATGCTTTGTGTATGGGTTGATTCTAAAGGCAAAAGTCAATAAACTGTTTACGTTTCCTGTAATGTGCTAGGATTATGTACTCCTTGTACACTATTTTGTTTGGTCTGAAGTTTTTAATAGTTTTTTTTCTTCTTGCATTATATGCCTTAGTTTATCTATAAATTCCTCTAATGTAGAGGTTGGCCACCATTTTTTTGTAAAGGGCTGAGAGTGAATATTTTTACTTATTTATTTATTTGAAAGTAATTTATGAAATTTTGTTTCTGTTTGCCACCTTTAGGGGAAGAATCAAGTGACCTCCACCCCAACAAAAATCATTCTTGCTTATTTACTTTTTTTTAACATTGTATCATTTAAAAATTTTTTAATTACAGTTGGCATACATTATTATTAGTTTCAGGTGTACACCCCAGTGATTAGACATTACGTAACTTACTAAGTAATCGTCCAATAAATCTCACACCCATGTGACAGCATACATGGTTATTAGATATATTCCCTATGCTGTACTTCACAGCCCCGTGACTATTCTATAACAACCAATTTTTACTTCTTAATTCCTTCACCTTTTTCACCCACCCTCCAAGCCCCCTCCCACCTGGCAAGTGTCAAAACATTCTCTGTATTTATGAGTCTATTTCTGTTCTGCTTGTTTATTTTGTTTTTAGATTCAATTGTTATAGATATGTATTTATTGCCATTTTATTGTTCATATTTTTGATCATCTCATTCATAAAGAAGACCCTGTAACATTTCATTTAATACTGCGTTGATGATGATGAACTCCTTAAGCTTTTTCTTGTCTGGCAAGCTCTTTATCTGTCCTTCAATTCTAAATGACAGCTTTGCAAGGTAGAGTAATCTTCGTTGTAGGTCCTTGCTTTTCATCACTTTGAATATTTCTTGCCAATTTCTTTTGGTCTGCAAAGTTTCTTTTGAGAAATCAGCTGACAGTCTTATGGGAGCTCCCTTATAGAATCACTGTTAAAAGGAAGGTAATCTTCTAAAACACCTCACATTCTAGTCACTTTGTGTAAAAATAGAAATTTGGAACACTATGTCCTTTAACTTTCTTGATTATATGATACGCTAAGAAAAGAGGAGCTTTCTGAACTTTCGTTCTTGAACAAACCCTAGTGGGGCTCTGCACATTCTGGATGGTGTGGTGACATCATACACCCTTGCTTTTCATCACCAGTTGTCCTGCTGGGTCCCTCTGAGACCTCACTTTAGTAGAGACCCAAGAGCCATTTCCTGCAGTTCACCAGTTGCTCTTCCCAAGAGCTCAGTGGCTGTGCTGGCAGTGCAGTCATCTTCCTCACAGGGTCTGGTCAGCTGGAACGCATCCCAGTTGGGGCAACAGCACTAAGTTGGCTTTTCTTTGCAGACCACACCCCTCCAGAGCTAAGTGCACTGACCCCTCAGCCAAGAAGTGCTTGGTCATGGATGCAGATGATGAGGCGGTCCTGAACCTCATTGCCGAGTGCGAGTGGGACTTGAGCAACCCTCCTAGGAGTACAAGTTCTAGCCAGAAGGAGCGAGAGGATGACTTCCATAGTTCCCAAGGTACAATGCTGCTCCACCCGAAGGCCCAGCGGGTCCAGCTTGCTCTGGGCACAGTTGTGCTTTTTAGAAAGCTTACCTTTAAATATAGAATCTTCATGAAGTCTTGTGTACTTGCAAATATCAGTAATTTGGATTATAGAATTATAAAAGAAAAAGTTATGTATTTGAGTATAGTCATACTGCATGGTGATTTTAATTGTATTCTTCCTCAGATCAGTTACAGTTGCAGGGAGGAAGTAAAATGTCCAAGTGGGCAAGAAGGTAATGTGTCCTGTGGCTGGTGGAACTCATGTCTGTGTCAGCCACCAAGGGGTGTTCACTTAGCTTTAGGGAGCATTTAGAGCTCAGGCTCCCACGTTAGAACATTAAATCTGACAAGGACATTGTGAAGTCCTCCTAATGCTTGCATGAACTTCATTACTTTGCCAAGGACTCTTTTCTACTAGGACTTTTTTTAAAAATCTTCACCTGAGGATATTTTTTCCACTGCTTTTCAGAGAGAGTGGAAGGGGGGGGGAGGAGAGAGATCCATGTGAGAGAGACACATCAATTGGTTGCCTCCTGCACACGCTTCAACTGGGGCTGGGAATTGAGCCTGCATCCGAGGTATGTGCCCTTGTCTGGAATCGAACCTGGGACCCTTCATTCTGCTGGCTGACACTCTAACCACTGTGCCAAACCAGCTAGGGCTCTCTATGGTTTTTTTAATACAACCCTTTCTCAGATCTAAGTACTGCAAATTTTCTCCCATTCTGTTGCTTGCCTTTTGTTTTCTTAACAGTGCTTTGAAGACCAGAAGTTTTCATTTCAATGAAATCAGCTTATCAGTTTTTTTCTGTATATGATTTGCACTTTTTTTGAGCCTGATAAAAAAATCTTTCTCTGCCCCATGCTTGTGAAGATTTTCTTCTATGGATGTGTATAGATGTCCTATGGTTCCAATGTTCAGCTCTGTGGTCCACTGTTAGAGTGGTTTTGTGACTGTAGTATGAAATGGGTCAGGTTGTCTCCCCTCAGCCCTACTCCATATATCCAGTTGTGCTAATGCCATTTGTTGAAAATACTGTCTTTTTTCTCACTTAATAACCTTAGCACATTTGTTAATTCAGTTGACCTGAGTGTCTGGGTTCTGGGTGCTGTTTTATCTGTCATCACGTCTGTCTTTGTATCAATACCAAACTGTCTTGACTCCTCAGCCGTGTAGTGAGTGGTGGTTGGTCAGTGTCAGTCCTGCACCTGCAGCACTGTTTGCAGTGACTACTAGGCTCACTACAGGTTTGGCGATTGCATTATTAACCCACTCAGTCATCTTTTTTTATTTAATTAATACACGTTATAGATATAGTATACTGTCAGAAGCTTAAAATGTAATTTTTAACGAACTAAAACTTTTTAAATGTTCTTAAATAAAATAGAATCCAGACATCTATTGAGTCCTCACTCAGTGCAGCACCAGTGTGGGGACTGCATAAAGAAGGGCCACGAGAAGCGAAAAAGCTGCTCCAGAGAGTGTTGTCCAGAAAAGAGGCTTCAGAACCAGTACTGTGGAGAGCTCCCGCCACAGCAGGGAGACCAGCCCGAGGTCTGCTGCTCCTTCAGGCAGCACGTGCACTTCCCCCCACACCCAGGTAATTTCACGCGACTCCTTCTTAAATGTGTACATTTCTCCCATTCTCTACTGCATTTATTTGTTTGTGGAACTCTCTAAAGTGACTTAGGAAAGAGCCTTGTACATTGAAATTTAGAATACATCCACCCTAGTTAGGTGGCTCAGTTGTTGGGAGCGTGGTCTCCTACACCAAAAGGTTGCAGGTTCAATTCCTGGTCAGAGCACAAGTGAGAGGCAACTGATCGATGTTTCTTGCATCATTGCTTCTTCCTCCCCCTCTCTCTCCTTCCCTCCCTCCCTCCCTCCCTCCCTCTCTAAAAGTCAATGAAAACATATCCTCAGGTAAGGGTAAAAAAATTTAGAATACATTCCTATTTTAGATTCCTAGGCTGTGAGTACTCTGTTGCTTTTCTCTACACACAGACCATACACACATACTTTTTCTCCCTCTCCCTCTCTCTCACTGACACACACGATTTCTTATGACTACGCTGGCCCAGGTTATGACAATAGTTGTATTTTAAAAATTAAAGATGAGGGAAGTTAATAAGTTAATTGAGAGTGTTGTGTGCACATCTGTGACAAAAATGTCAGGAAACCTCCCAATATGACTGAACCGAGCACCTTTCTGGGCCTTGTTCAGGCGAGTTCATGGGGTCTTTGGAATGAAGGCGAGTTGTGGTAATGACCTGCCCAGGTTGCCTGTGGCCACTGCAGAGCAGGGTGTGGCGTTGAGTCCAGGTCACGTGCACCCTGTTGCCTCCTTTCACTGTCCCGGTTCCTTTTACCCTGTGTCCTGAGGCTTCATAATGCTGCTGTGGCGTATGGGTGCACAGGACCCCCATCTCCACTCGTCGTCAGAATTCTTCATTCCACCTCTGTTCACAAAGGCATATATGCTTGATGTTTAGACTCTGTTGACCTGTAGTCCTTGTGCATTTCCACAGTGAACACAGAAAGGCTGCCACAGCAGAACAAGGAAGATTCATATCTGCTTCACCCAGACCCCTAGTCAGCATTGAACACATTTGCCCTTGCCCCTGCCCTGTGTGTCCCTCTGTGTGCGTGTGCATGTGCATGTATATATGTATGTGTATGTCCATATGTATGTATGCATACACTCCCTTGTCAGCAGATGTGGGCGGTGTCCCCTGGGGTAGGGAGTGTCCCAGGTACTCACATTAACAGAATCTCCTATAGGAACAAATTGTTGAGTCCTCCCTAATTTCCAAAGTTTTAGATTTTTACTCACTTAACTCATCTTTGTTATACATAATTTTGGCAAGAAAACATATAATTATCAGTTGATTCATTTATTAAAGTTACTCAGTTTTGTCACACTGATGGATTTTCCATATGTGCATGCATGCTTACATACACATGCACACTCTGTTTAAATAATAGTCCTGGTCACTGTGCCCAGAGAACTTGGTCTGAGGACTGTGTTCTCCCCTCTGTTACAGACTCCGCAGACACTGAGGACTCAGCCTCCTCTTCTCAGAAGTCAAGTTTGTCAACACAAAAAGTATTAAATCCTTTGCCTGCTCTCGAAAAGTACAGGAAGCGAAGAATGCCTGGTGGGAGATTCCAGGCACCTGCAGACCAGGAGTGTATTAGCTGCCTGGAGAAGAGTCTGGGCAGGCAGAATGGCTCCGAGGGCAGGAGCGAAAGGGCCTTTTCTCATCTGGAGGTATCTGAGCCTGAAGAGCAGAGGCCCCACAGCACAAGTGGCGCCAGGGAGGTGAGCGGAGAGCCAAGGTTGACTGGATGTTGAAGGGCTGCCATCTTTGGTAATGCCATGTCTTCTATTTGCAACATTAACTGTGATCCCAAGATAAATACAGCTCTTAAATGTACTTTTCCTCAGTGTTTGTCATCTCTCTGTTTTACTAGAAGTGTGCATGCATTGGGTTCGGGACATTGTGGCTCCGAGTCTGTTTTTACAGAGGGCCTGGCTGTCATCCATTCTTACATGAGTCTTTCACTGTCTCACTGTCCAGGTTGAGAGAAGGAAGGAAAATAGGGATGTGCTCAGGCCAGGGATGTGCACTGGCCTTTCCTGTCTGCCAGTGATGGACATCGCCAAGTGTAGAGCTGTGCCCGGCAAGCTTGCATACTCACTGTGGGGCTGGGACTTTACAGGAGGGACTCCTGCCCAGGGCGCCCTCTCCTCTCAGTTTAGGGCTCTGACCTCATGGTGGTCATCCTCTTGGAGAGGGCACAACCTGTGCATCTCAAGTGGGAGATGGAAACCTGTGTGACTGTGCTGTGTCCACCCTGATAACTTTGCTCTGTCATCCATGCCTATTGCACTGGCCAAGTGTCCAGATGATGGAGGTGTTTGTGCCAAGCACTCACTGGGATGGTCTCAGCCTCAGTTCTGGGAGGCAAGCAGCTAGGCCTTAATGTTACCTTGCTGACCAGTTACAGGATATGGGCTGCCCCATCCCTGGTGTGAACTTGGACAGAGCAGTGCTCCCTTGGTGGGCTTGCTCCTGGGGGGCTGAGGGTACATCCACCACCCACCACTGTGCTCCCTGGTGCTCATGGAGCTCTCTTTGGGTAGGTGGTGGTAGTGGGAGGTGAGGGGCATCCCAGCTGAAGCAGCTTTACCTGCCCTGGCCTGGGTTCTCCCATCACTCAGGGCCTCACTGGCTGTTCCAAAAGTTCTTCAGTAGAAAGCCCCTTTGCCTGTTAAATAATAGTTAAGAGCGCTGGCTGTGAAGGGTGGGGCTCTCGCTGGCCTTCTGCCTGGAACTGATTCCTGGAAACCTGGGACCAGTTCTATGTCTCCAGCTCTGGTCATGGCCTGTGGGAAAGATGTCAGCTTTAACTCCACCTTCCCTTCCCAGACACCCTACTCACAGTAAATGTACCCTGAACACTTGGAAAGTGAGCAGGAAAGCACGAGCCATCCCCCTTTTCTTCAGTAATTCTCTCAAATTGGTAAAATAGTTTTCCTAAAGGGAGGAAAAAAGAGAGCACGGAGGTGAGTGCCGACAACGGCAGACTGTCGAGGCCCCTGCAGGTGCTGGTACGCTCAGGCACTGGGTGCAGCCTGGACAGTTCTGCCCTGTAGCCTCTTCTGCAGGTGTGGCTTTATTACATTCAGGGCCCTCTGCTAGTGACCATGCAGGCTGAGACTGGCTCTAGAGAATGTCCTCCTCTTCAGGAGTCACTGTGGGCTAGTCAGGAAGACCCAGAACAGCCACCATGGTGGATGTTCCCGCAGCCTCAGCCCGAAAACTGTGATTGTGGCTTTCATGACCATGTGTTAGTGCCAACACATGGTGTAATGCCTTATAGTTTAGGGTACTTATAGTTTAGCTTTTCCTCCTGGTGGGAGATGTCATCCCCGCCACACAGCTGTAGACACTCAGGGCACTAAGCTCTTGTAACCCTTCCATGGTCACAGGTCCAGGGGGTGGGGAGGTGAATCCCATGAGTCACTTACCTCCTGCAAATTTGTGAACAGCCCCATCATGCAGTCTCCATGGGACAAGGGCATCAGTATGATGCTTGGTGGGCATGTAAGCATGTGGTATTAGAAGCCTTGTGTTTCAGGAACTGAAAGTCAGTGTCATGGTTTTGTTTCTGTTGCAGGTGTCTCCCAAATTGCACCCAGCTGTGCTGCCTGGGAAGCAGGCGACCCTGGAGGTGGCCCTCCTTGAAGCACTCCTTGACCTGGTGGACAGGTACTGGAGTGGCTGCAAGTCCCTGCATAGCAACGAGGTGTTCCTGGGTGAGTCAGGAAGGGACATCAGCTCATCAGTTCAGTGCCATGTGCAGGCCCACCCTGCAGGTAGCATTGTGTTAGTAGGTACCTGTTCTCCCATTGGGTTCTGCACCGCCCACGTTGCTGTGCCCTCCTCACCAGCTGTCACTGTGGCTGCTGTGCTTCAGGGAGCACGCTGACAGTGTTCCTCTCAGTGGCTGGAGGCTCCCCTGAGGTGTGGCTTTTGGTTTTCCCAGCCACTGGTTCTGGTGTTTGGGGAGATGCCTCGTTGCCTGGTTTTGCTAGAAGTGTTGTTCACAGGTATTTGGTTCTCGTGGCTGTGTTTTCACATGTCCCCATGGAGAAATTAAAAAGCTGCTGCTGTCTTCTCCAAATCTGAGAGCTTGATTGTGTGGAGGATCTGGGATTTGCCCAGATTTTGATGGAAATGAGATTTTGATGGAAATGTCTGAGGCCCAGGAGGATGGCCCCTCCTCTAGGAGGACTTTGGTTTGCTTCCACCTGGTGCCTAGATACAGGAGCACATTGGGGATCCCATCGCCCAGAGTCAGGATGTGAAACAGGATGCTGCATCCTCAGGGAACCACCTCTTTTCCCCACAGCCTGGGGTGCAGCATTCAGTGTCCCAATGGGAGGGGATTTGCCAGCCCTTCCCTACAGACCCTGGGCCCTTCCTGGAGCTGCCATCTGAGCCACCACCAGAGGCTCCTGAGTACTTCAGCTGCTCAGTCTTATGGCCCCTTAGCTTCTCCACCTAGAATCAGGATGCCCCAAGATGCTGGAGCCCCTGGATGCTGACCCCATGAATCTACACCCTCTCGTTAGGGTAGCAGCAGGACTGGTCTTTTTTGCCACGCTGCTATTCCCAGTGAAGTTGCCAGATGGTGTCTACACACATGTCCCAGGCCAGGCGCAGGAGCAGTCAGGGCTGTTGAAGAGAGTGTGGTGGGCTGCTGGGGCATTCAACCCAACCATTCTAGTCGTAGCCTTCTCCTGAGCGGCACCTTTTCTCTAGAATAAAACTTTTTCTACTCTTCTCTGCCTCCCATCCTTGACTAGATGTGAACAGCCTGAGCGAAGGTAATTTCAGTGGTGCCCTCATCCCTTGGCCAATCTCCATGCCTGCAGTGCTTTTGAGGCCTGTAATGTGTGTGATTCAAAATTTATTGAATGTATTTTGTTTACACTTTATCCTTTTGGCATAAATGGGATAATAATACTTGATTTTTATTCCCAGCTCAGGCAAGGCATATTTTGTCATCTGTTCAAGAGATTACAGCAACTCAGGACAGTTCAGCAATTGTGAATGAAGAAATTAGCTACTTGACTCTTGAAAATAAATCTTTGCAAAATCACCTTGTTGAACAACAGCAGCAATATAGTGAAAAGATGAGTGAGGTTGTATCGGAGCTCAACAACACTCGGAAAGAGATGGTGAGCCACACCCCTGTGTTTCATTTTATTCACAAATGGGTGAAAACATCATTTTGACTTCACAGAAGGAGGGGAGACTCTCCGCTCTGCACTTTCCCTTAGCTGCCATCAGGCTGTCCTTCCAGGATCACAAACCCTCCCCACCAGGCTTTCCCCACCTGAGGGGACTCTTAACTGTGTGTTAGAGTCCCCTCAGCAACACAATTTGCAGATGGATGCATGGCTGCTTCTCCCAGCTCTGCCTCTCCTGAGTGGCTACCGTCACTTCTGAGAGAGGGTGAGTGGGAGAGGGAGAGACAAGGTGAAGCTGAGCTTAAGGTGGAGTTTTTGTGGTCCCGAGTTCCCTGCCCCAGGCTCCCCAGACCACTGATGAGAGAGGTTCCAGTTAGCTGGGTGATCCTAGGGTTCCTGCTCCAGTCCTACCTGCACCAGCCACAGGCCCAAGGTGTCCTATTGGACCTGAGGGAATTTCCACCACCAGGTGGCTCCACAGGGCAGCCAAAGCCAGCACAGCTGGGCCTCCTGGCTGAGCCCAAGAGTCCTGGCCTTCAGGGCTGCCCTTTTCCTTTGTAACTTCACCATAAGACCATCATACACAAATATCTACATTAAAAAAGAAGAAAGATCTCAAATTAACAACCTAAATTTATACCTCAAGGAACTAGAAAAAGGACAACAAACTAAACCCAAAGTTGACAGAAGGAAGAAAATAATAAAGATCAGAGCAGAAATAGAGAATAGAAAAGCAATAGAAAAAATCAACAAAACTGAGTTGGGTTTTTGAAAAAAAAATACAAAATCAACAAACCCATAGCTAGACTAAAAAAAGGAAGACTCAAAATAAGAAATGAAAGAGGATGCCTCAGAAATAAGTAAAAATCATAAAGGACTATTGTGAATGACTATATGCAAACACATTGGATAACCTAGAAGAGATGAATAAATTCCTAGAAACATGCAACCTACCAGAAGACAGGAAAAAGCTTCTTGACATGAACTTGGAAAAGATTTTTTTGATATAACACCAAAATAGCAGGCAACAAAGGCAAAAATAAGCTAGTGGGACTACATCAAACTAAAAAGCTGCTGCACAGCAAAGGAAACAGCAGAATGAAAAGGCAACCTATAGAATGGGAGGAAATATTTGTAAATCATATATCTGATAATGGGTTAATGTCCAGAATACAGAAAAACTTGTACAGCTCCACAAAAAAAAAAAAAAAAAAAAGCCTCATTAAAAAATGGGCAGGGGACCTGAATAGATATTTCTCCAAAGAGGGGCATACAAATGGCCAATAGGAACATGAAAAGATGCTCAACATCACTAATCATCAGGGAAATGCATCTCAAAACCACAATGAGGTACCACCTCACACCTGTTAGAATGGCTCCATCAATAAATCCACAAACAACAAGTGCTGGTAAGGATGTGGAGAAAAGGGAGCCCTCGTGCATTGCTGATAGGAATGTAAATTGATGCAGCCACTATGGAAAACAGTATGGAGTTTCCTCAAAAAATTAAAAATAAGGCTGCCTTACGATCCAGCAATCCCACTTCTGGGTATAAACTTGTAGGAAATAAGTCAGTATCACAAAGAGATATCTGAATGCTCCATTTTCATTGCAGCATTATTTATGATAGCCAAGGTGTGGAAGCAACCTTGTCCATCAGGAACAGGTATATGAACAAGTATATATGCAACATGTATTCAGCCTTACAAAGAAGGAAATCCTCACATTTGCAACAACAGATGGACCTCGAGGTTAAGTGAACTAAGTCAGGCAGAACAAACTGCATGACCTCACTTTTTATATGGAATATAAAAAAGTTGGAGGGAGGCTACCTGCCCAGGCACACCATAAAGGCCTGGGGACTGCCTGTGCTCTTGCTGTGGTGACCATGGGGTCTTCCTGGAGGAGGCAGCCACTACATTTATTCCTCTCAGCACCAGGCCTGTGGCTCCAGCTGAAGCATACCCTTCACCAGGGGACATGGGAAGATGGGTGCTCCCCTGTGAGCTGAACTACCCTTTTTCCTGTCCTTTCTGAAGGACATTACTTTCAGCCTGGGCCAGCCTGCTGACAGGTAAGATACATGCTTACAATGATGTGCCACATAATGACATTTCAGTGAACGCCAAACTGCACATAGGACAGTGGTTCCATAAGATTATAATGGAGCTGAAAAATTCCTATTGCCTAGTGACATTGTAGCTGCCCTAGTGTTGTAGCACAAAGGTGGTAAAAATCACCAAGGCCGTGGTTGAGACGGGAAACAGCTTTACCCCTGGTGTGCATGAGGATGACATTGTCGAGCTCCTAGAGGTGGTTCCTGTGGGACTGACTAATGAGCTGTTGGAATTGGAACAGGAATGCATAGCTGACAGACAAGAGAAAAGGAAACTGCAAGAGAAGATAAAGCAGGACCCCTGGAAAATTTAGTGAAGGATTTAGCAGAAGCTTTTGCAGACCTTGCCAAGCCCCTTAAAAGATTAAAAAACATGGACCTCAACACCAAAAGCTTTCATTAATAGAGAAGAATGTTCATGGTGGTCATATTTCTAGAAGGAGTGATGTCCTCAAGAAGAGCCTCAGGCAGGTCCTTCAGGAGGTATTCCAGAAGAAGGCATAGATGTCGTCATAGGAGATAACAGCTCCATGCCTGTTACTGCCCCTGAAGACCTTCCAGTGGGACAAGATGTGGAGGTGGATGACAGTGATGTTGATGATCCTAACCCTGTGTGGGCCTAGTGTGTGTGTGACAGTTTTTAATAAACAAGTTTAAAAAGTGGAAAAAAAAAATTGGGGGTGGGGGAGCCTTTAGACTAAGGATATAAAGAAAATATTTTTGTACAGCTATACAGTGTGTGTGTTTTAAGCTAAATGTTATTACAAGAGTCAAAAAGTTTTTAAAAATTCAAGTTTATAAAGTGAAAATTTATAATAACTTAAGGTTAATATATTATTGAAGGAAAAATATTTTTTATAAGTTAGTGTAGCCTAAGTATAGTGTTTTATAAAGTCTACAGTCGTGTACAGTAACATCCCAGGCCTTCATATCACTCACTCGCTGACTCACCAGAGCCACTTCCAGTCCTGTGGGCTCTGTTCGTGGAAAGTGACCTACATACACACATACCACATTTTATCTTTTATACTGTATTTTTACTGGGTCTTTTTTGTGTTTAGGTATGTTTAGACACACAGATACTTCCCATGTGTTACAGTTGCCTGCATTACCTGGTGCAGTAACATGCCGTACAGGTTTGTAGCCAAGGAGCAACAGGCAGTACCACATAACCTAGGCGTATAGGGGGCTGTACCATCTAGGTTTGTGTACGTGCCTCTGTGGCATTCACAAAATGACAGAATCACCTGACAATGCATTTTTCAGAACATATCTCTGTCGTTAATCAACTCATGATTATACAGCTTTTCACATTGTGATTCAGCAGTTCTGATATGTAAAAGGAAACTGGTTATTTCGAAGGGCTTTATATAATTTTCTATATGCATTTTGCTGAATTTGACTTGTCTTTTTTAAGTGTATTGTTCTGTGTCCTTAGGATGACTTGAGGCAACATTTAGACAAATCTTTGGAGGAGAATAGTAGCTTAAAGTCTCTTTTGTCCAGCATGAAAAAAGAAGTAAAAAATGCAGATGCTTCAGCTGCCTTAAATGTGCAGATCACTGGTGAGTTGACAGCCTGTTTAGCACCACTACTTGGTAAATGTATGTGTTCAAACACTCATGAGATTTCATTTTAAATTATTCACAGAGTTCAGAACCAGCAAATACTGGAAAATGGGTGTTGGAGCCCACACCCCTGGTTATTCTGTGAGTTGTCTTGGCTCACGAGTGATGCTCACGCTTGCCCACGGCACGCTCGGGTGTGTATGAAAGGAGGGCTGTGCCTGAAGGAGAGGTGCCTCCGCTGTGGGCTCTGTCAGGTCCTTACTGCTCCATTCCTTTGACTCCTTAGGTGCTCAGGGATCATCCCGTGGCTGTGGCGCCGTGGACTGTGGTGGTAGCCTGTCTGCCCCTGACGTGTGCAGGGCAATAGCACTTACTGCTCAGCTTTGTCTGTCCCCAGCGGGCACAGTGGTCCTTCTCCTTGATCACTACCTTCCAGACCCAGATCATTTTCATTTCCCTCTCTTCTCTTTCTTTGATTCTATTTTGCCATTTTACAAAAGTACACTCTCTGTATTTCAGATTCAGATACTGAAATAGAATGAGGAGGTGTTAGTGGTGTCTGCTTTTCATGGTAGAATGAGGAGGTGTTAGTGGTGTCTGCTTTAGAATGAGGAGGTGTTAGTGGTGTCTGCTTTTCATGGTAACTTGGGGTGAAATGGGGTCTCTTGAAGCTTTTTATTTCAGAGGAAGGACAGATTGAGCATCTTTTCCCATTCTCACCTCTCAGGGATCCAAAGGCTTTTACTTAAAGTTCCAGATAGTAAATATTTCAAGGCCCGTGGCCTCTGTCCCAAGTACTTACTGTGGCCTTTGTCACGTGAATGCAGGCATGGAGTCCCCCTCATCTGTCCTTGCCCATTGTTTATTGGTCTAGTTTATTGAGTGGTAAAAGTTGTTTACAATCTTCTCTTTTTAAAAAAATTTTTTACAGAATCATTTATTAGTTTTTAGAGAGAGAGGAAGGGAGAGGAAGAGAAGGAAAGGGAGAGGAAGAGAAACCAATGCGAGAGCACACTGATTGGCTGCCTCCTGCACGCCCCCCACTGGGGAATCGAGCCCACGCTCTTCTAATGCACCCAACCAACTGAGCCACACTGGCCAGGGCTAAATTTTTATTTAAAACCTTTCCTCTTTTTGCCTTCCATTTCACTGCTCTTGGGTTCCTTTTGGTTCAGCCTCCATTCTGCATTCTTGCTTGAGTTCAACCACCTCCTTTCTGACACTGCTCGATTCTGACTTCAGTTCATTCTGAAGCAGTTGGTTGTGGTTTTGATCTGTTGCGAGTGTCTTTTGCTGTCTGAATGGCTGCTCTTGTGCTTGTGCAGTAACTTGTATGGGGTTTGACTTCAGTACATCTCTGTTGTTCATTGTCTCGTGAGGTTTGTTCTGAATTTCTAGAAGGAGCAGGTCAGACAGCTTCTCTAACCTCACAGATAAATATGGTGGCCTCCTTTGCCCTGTTCCCTCCCCTCTTCTTTCTGGTGTCCTGTCTAATTCAGTCTGAACCCCTCACCAGCTGTTTCTCTGCAGAATGGCCCTGTTCTGGAAAGGACCAGGTGGATCAGCCCCAAGGGCTCATGGGTTGCTCCAACCTTCAGACCACGCAGGACACCCCTACCCCAAGTTCATCTCATTAGAGGAGGCTGAACCTTCCTCCTGCCAGCCCTGGTTCCCTAGTTGGCCTGCCAGGATTTCCAATGAAAACAGGACACTTGGGGGTGCTCCGTCCTCAGGTCTGTCAGCTGCCCCACTGCTGAGTGCTGCACCTGCACAGATGTGGATACCATGCAGGGCTATGGCTGCCTTGCGTTTGGGGTCTTGAGGCTACCTCATCACCAGGAGCTATAATGTCTGTGGGGCTCCGGTCTCATCATCTAGTTATTCTTGGTGTTGACTAATGTGGGGTTCTGGGAGAACTGACCCATGCGCCACTGCCCCCTTCCCAGAAGCTCTTTCAGCATGCCCTCTAGGGAGGTTTGGGTGGACACAGACTCTGAGTAGGGTTTTCTTGTCTGAGTGCAAGAAGATGCCCCTCCATCTCTGGGACAATCCTTGTGAGAAGGACCCACTGTCAATGTCTGCATCCCTTTGCCTGTGGCTTTCTCGTTGTCTCTGGCGTTGTTTGCTTTTGCAGTGGTGTGTCTACATGTGGAGTTATTTGTATCCTGGTTTTGGATTTAAGAGCCAATGAATGGTATATTTCCCCGACCCTCACCCCTTAAGGAAACCCAGAGAGATGCAACAGTCATATAGATGGAATGCAGACACAGGCTCTGCTACTGATGGACATGGGACCAGAGACCTGTGGCCACAGTGGGCTTCCAGTTGCTTCTCCTCAAAGCTTCTCCTCAAAGCCTCCCCTCGGCAGAGCTTGTTGCTCTGTGGAAGAGACACCCTGAAGCCCTCCCCTGCCAGCAGGCAGGCCCAATTGAGGGATCATTCACCTGGTACCAGGCCCACCTCTGTCATCACTCTGCCCTCCACACAGGGGTGTGGTTCCTCAGGGATATCTGCAGGGCAGATTCCCACAGCTTCAACCCAAGGAGGGAGCCAGGGCTGGGCCCTGGGGTAGAAACAGCTGGATGTGTTCACCCTTATCTTTGAGTTGCTTACAAAAATTGACCTTTTTTAAGCTATATTCTTTTTCTTCTGTCCCAGGTCCAGTTTAAACTCTTGAATTGTTTTTAGTTTTCCAAATATATAAGTGAATTTCACTCAATAATGCTACTTAATTTTCTTTTTCAGGGCTTCAAACAAACGTGAAGAGGCTCTCCGGTGAGATCGTGGAATTGAAGCAGCATCTGGAACACTATGACAAGGTCCAGGAGCTCACACAGATGCTGCAGGAGAGCCACAGGTGCCTGCGGGGGTGGGGGTATAGATGAGGGGATGGGGGCGAGGTGGGGTGAGGCATGGGGAGGGTGCAGGAGCAGCAGATGCTGGTGTCCAGTGTTCTGGGCCCATGTGTGTCGCTGTGCTGACTTGGCACTTCCATGAGCTTCCATTTCTTAATGAAAAGCAAGTCCCTTTCTGCTGCAGTATTCTGTGAGGTATGTGACCTGAGAGGTGAGGGGCATCTGAGTGGTGATGAGTGGTGATGTGGGTCTGTGTTCCCGGAGAGGCGGGACTGAGCTAGACTAGATGGAGGAGCAGAAGGAAGGGAAATGAGACACAGTCATGGTGCAGGGAAGTGGCAGGCAAGGCAAGATCACTCCCTGGAGTCCAACAGCCCCATCTGTGGCAGGTCACAAGGTATTGGCACCTTGGCATTAATGTTGACAAGGCAGGGGGGCAGAGCCTCTAAGTGCAGTAGAGTGAGAGAGTGAGGTCCATAAGGACGTGTCTACTCTGAGCCTCTGGTCAGTGGCTGTTTTCAGTGGTCCAGGCAAACAAGGCTGCCACGTGTACAGGGAGTTTGTCAGTGGGGGGACCTTTGTGGAGAAAATGGCCCTGCTTTCACCCATTTCTTGTGATGCCACAAATGTGCTTGAGTCATTGCTGACTGAGTGAGTTGGATAATTTGGTAAAATACAACACCACTTTCTTTCTGAAATCCCCTCTAATTAAAAATGGTTAATAATATTAAAAAATCAGAGCTTTTCAATTATACTATTACAATGTCAGGATTTTAAAGAGGGTCCTTTATATTTGACTGGAAATTAGAAATACTTTGGTATTTGGGTCATTTCTAGAATTAGAACATTGTTTTGCTGGCCATGCATGGCCGGAGCACTAAGGGACCATCTATTCACTTTGAGTCATGGGTCCATTCCACGGGTGCTGGGCAGTGCTTGCCGGGCAGCATGAGGGCTGAGGGGTTGAGTCAGACCTGGCCCCACCAGGTCTGGAGGCAAGAGGCAGATGGGCAGTCGCCAGGAGGGAGCAGGAGCAGACAGGTTTGCGGGCCTGGGCACGGCTGGGGCGTGTGGGGTCAACAGGCAGGCTTGGCCATCTGAGGGAGGATGCTGCTGGAGAGGACAGCAGCACAGCCAGGACATGGCTGCCCTGTGTTCTCTCCAGTTCCCTGGTCAGCACCAACGAGCACCTCCTGCAGGAGCTGGGCCAGGTGAGGGCTCAGCACAGGGCCGAGGTGGAGCAGCTGCACTGGAGCTACAAGGAGCTCAAGAAAACCATGGCCTTGTTCCCGCTCAGCAGCGCCCGCCTCGGTGGCTGCTCCTAAACCTGACCTTCCAAGCAGTGTGGTGTGCATGTGTGTATTTTTACCTGGCGTACTTGATGAGAGTTGTTTCTTCTGTTTGCAGTTATCTTGTGAGCTCTGAAATGTATTTAGGGCCCACAGTTCAGTTTTCTAAAACATTTTAAAAAGACAGGATTAATCCAGGCCCTTCACATGTTTTGAGACAAAACACATTGACACTTAAGACAAACAGATTATTAATTTTTCATCAAATATCTTGTAAAGAAAATGCAGTATTTTTCTGCCTAATGTAAAAGAGAACTATGTATGATGTTTAAAGAAAATAACTTATTGTGTAACAAGCAGTTCTTATTTAATAAATGAATACATTGTTCTGAAAAGTGGGTCTTCATAAATTATAGTTGATTTTATTATTGAATTCTTTTATAAAACAAGCTATGCACCATGGTTGGTGAGCAGAAACAAGTAAGTTCCAGGACTTAATCAAAGTAACATTTATAGTGTGGGAAACAAAAAATGTTCTGTGATATTACCATCCTACTCTAAAAGCATCTACCCAAGCTCTGGCTCTCTTTTGCTTACAGTGTATTTCTGAAAATTATGTCATAACAAGGCATAAAATTAGGTTTTTTAGTTTGAAACTTTATATCTTATGTAATACTTGCTTTCTTTGATAAAACAAAATGATTTTTTAGAATAATATATTTAATTGGTTGAGGAAGAAGAACAGGCCTCAGAAAAGATGCTGTGTGTAGCTGTGCACATCAGGACTCCGTGGGAAGTCAGAGGGGCATTGGTCTTCCCCTTAGAGGGGGGTCCCTGGGCTTCAGGTGTCTTTCCAGTCTCCTATCTGATCATGCTTATGTCCAACAGCACCAGTTTTTGTAGCTTAGCTGGGAAATGTGTCATCCCAAAAGTGTGGGAGTGGAATTTCTGTCATCAGATCATTTTTAAAACTTTAGAAGATTTTAGTATTAATGCATTTTAAGCTTATGGAGAATAGTCACTGTGCTGCTACTTATGAAGTCTTGTTAAGATTTTATTGAACTTCTTAGACCTGTGAGTTTATATTTTTTAATCAAATTTGGAAGTTTTGGCCGCCGTTTCTTCAGATTTCTTATTTGACCCAATGTCTGTTTCCCTCTCCCTTTTCTCCTGGGCTCTAGCCACACTTAGTTTGCCCACTTGATATTGTCTCCACAGGTCCCTAAACTTGGTCTTTCTTTCATTCTAGTTCTCTCAGTGCTTTAGTTTGGATCAGTTCTGTTGCCCTGTTGCAATGTGTACTGACATTCTGCCTTCTCTGCTGTTAAGCTTGTATAGTGAATTTTTAATTTCAGAAATAATATTTTTTTAGTTCTAAAATTATGTTTGGTTCTTTTTTATTAAGGTTTTATTTCCCATTATGTTCATATTTCATTTAACTCCTTAACCATATTCTTAATAGCACTACTATATATAGATAATTTCAAAGTGTTTCCAAAGTGTTAAACCAACTAACACTCTTAGTAGTGGTATATGAGAATTTCCATTGGCCTATGTTTTCAGCATATATTTCCAAAGTTTTTAATATCTTCATTCTAGAAGGTGTGTAATATATCTTCTGTGGTTCTAATTTGCTTCTCCCCAATTATCAAGGGAGTTGAGCATCTCTTCACATGTTTATTGGCCATCTGGACTTCCTTTTGTAAAGTGACTGTTCAAGTGTTTTCCTTATTTATCTGTTGTATAGTCTGTTTACTATTCATTTGCAGGAATTATTTATAATTCTGGATAGTAGTTCTTTGTGGTTTACATTTGCTAATAGCTTTTTCTTGTCTTTTTACTTTTTAATGGTGTCTTGATGAAGAAAACTTTTAAACTTTAATATGGTCTAATCTATTGTCTTTTTATTATGCTTCAATAATTTTAGATCCTAATTTTTAGAAATCTCTCTCTGTTTGTAATCATGAAGATATTATGGTGTATTATCTTCCAAAAGACTTTATAGTTTTGTCTATTAGATGTATATTCTACCTGGAACTGATTTTTGTGCATGTAATAAGGGTTAAAGACCCAATTTTGTTTTTATATGTAAGTCCAACTACCCAGCATCGTCACTGACAAGATTCCTTGGGCATAAGTGGTGTGTGTGAGCTCTGTTCTTCCCATGGGCCTCCCTGTCCATCTCTGTGCACGTCCACGCTTTGCATGGAAAGACCTTCTGCCTCAAGTGCAGGATGTTTGGGTAACTTTTGACCCTTTGCATTTCTTAAGTTTTAGAATTAGCTGGTTGAAATTTTGTTTGAGATTACATTGGTTGGTTTGAGAAGAACTGACATATAGGTAATATTGAGTCTTACAAACAGTGGATAGGATATCTCTGTTCACTTGTTAGGTCTCCTCTAATGTTCATCATTGTAGTTTTTGTCACTTTCTCCATAGGTTTTATGCATATTTTGTTATATTTATTCCTAGGTTTTTCTTATTTTGTGATGACATTTCTAAAAGATACTTTTAAAATTTATTTGATTTCTTTTTCTAATTAGTTGTTGCTGTTATATGGAAATCCAGTTGAGTTTTGTATGTTTTATACCAGCAAACTTGTGAAACTCTTAACTAATTTTAATAATTTACCTGCAGTTATTTTAGCTTTCGTAGACACATAGTCGTGTTTCCTGTGAGTAATGGATTATTTTGTTTTCTTTTCTATTCCTTTACTCTGGGTTTTCACTTTATTTTTTTTCTTTTTATTTTCCTTTGGTTTTTGCTTTTCCATGCTGGCTAGTAATTCTAGTACAATATCGATTAGACATGGTATTAGAGTGGGCTCTTTTGTTTTAGATAATAAATAAAAGGAGAGCTTTCACCATTTCTCCACTAAATTTGTGGTAGGTTTTTTGGTAGATGGCCTTTATCAGCTTAAAGAGGTTCCTTCCTATTGTTGATTTGCTAAGAATTTTTCATCATGAATGAATGAATTTTATCAGATACTTTTCTGCAACTATTGACATGACCATATGATTTTTCTTCTTTATTATTAACATGGTTAATCACAATAGTTTGCTAATGTAAAAAGTACCTTAAATTTCTGGGATAAATGATGGGTTTCCTTTATAGATATATTGTTGTATTTTAGTAATGATGGGTTTTCCCTTACAGATACATTGTAAAGGAAAATTTAGTAATGATGGGTTTTCCTTTACAGATATATTATTGTATTTTGTTTGTTAATATTTTGTTTTGTATTTTATAGTCTAGTACACCATTTAATGCCTAACTCTGGGTAATTATTTAAATTTTGTGTTCCTCAATTTCCTCATTTGTGAAATGGGGTAATACTAGTGCCTTCGTTATAGGTTGTTGTGATGGTTAAATGGTAAGTTCTAGGACAGTATCTGACACATAGTAAGCATGATATAATTGTTTGTGTGGTAGGCCACTCCAATAGCTTCCCATCCCTCAGTGACCTTGCTAGCTACATCACAAGATCAGGAAGCCCGTTTCTCTTCTGTTGAAGAGACCTCTGCTTGACCCCAGTTGGACTTCTTGTGAATGAGAAATAACTTGTTGTGTCCAGCTGCTGAGATTTGGGAGGCTTTCCACTACAGTTGGTAGTTATTTTCCTTAAATCATAGGACTATGCAGGCTTTCCATTTCTTCTTCTGTTAGTTTTCATAAGTTACACATCTCTAGGAATTTGTTCGATTGTTTCAAAATTTTTCGCATAACACCCAATCTTTTAATATCATTTTAATAGTTTCAGCATTTGAAGTTGTGTCCCTGTGGCAGAGATGTAGGGGTAGTTGTGTCCTTTCAAGTAAGTCCTTGCCATGAATGTAAGAGATGACCACCAGCTGCTTGTGGCCTCAGGCTCTGCCCCAGCTTTCATCTGTGGGCCCTAGCCAGTGACTGAGCAGGTGGGGCACCAGGACCTGACCCTCCTGCCACGGGGATTGCCTCAAACTGGCTGTCTTGGTTCACAAGACTTTGTCGAGTCTGCATCATGGTCTGGAGGGCTCCCTGCTCCTACATCCTTCCAGTAACATGCTAACTGCTCAGCATCAGCTTCCTGGGCCCAACTCCCACTCCCCTCCATCATCTGTCTCATCTCTTCATTAATCTCCCAGAAGTTTGTTGAGCTGACCAGTCCTGTCAAAGGACCAGCCTTGGTCTTCATTTCCTTCTCTTCCTTTTTAATTTCTGCTGTTCCTTTCCTTTTTAGCCATGCTGAAATTAATGATACATTTGGCTTAAAAATACTATTTTATCAATTTTCCCGTTCTGTGTTTCTCTTGCTTTATCCTCTAACAGAATTGATACATTTTCATTTAAATCTGCCATGTCATTCTATGCTGTTCAGTGTCTCCTGTCATTTTTTTTCCCTCCCCACTATTGCTGTTTTTGGATTTTTTATCATTTTGCATTTCACCTCTACTAGTTTGGAAGCCATGCACTCTGTTCCTGGTATATTCTTACACATTCATATTTATTTAATCAGCCCTTCCATCCGCCTCTGATATCATATAGCAGCCATGAGCATGTAACCCCCATGCACCCCTTCTGGCTCACGTGTGATGATGCTTTTCATTCATTTTAATGAAATAGTTAATCCCACAGAAAGTCATACTTAGTCACTATGTATTTGTAGTTATTTATTTTCTTCTCTTTCCTTTCTCAAATCTCACTCTTTCTATTTGTGATCACTGTCCTTCTGCATTTAGAATTTCTATTCATGTCTACTGGTGGAACGTCCCCTGTTATAGTCTAAAAATGCCTTTATTTTATCTTTATTTTTGAAAACTGTTCTCTGGCTGGGATTTCAGGTTGCAGTTATTTGATGACGGTGTTCTTGTTGGGGTTGCTGTGCTGTAATGTAGTTTGTGTCCTGTCCCCCTGGATCTGGACCCCCCAGGGCTGCACAAGAACTCGACTAGACCTCAGACATAGCAGGTGGTCAGTCCACCTGCTTCTCACGGGGTCAGTTCAGTAGCTGCCTGTCTAAGTGAGGAGGTGAAAGACTCTCTCTTGGGTGAGGGGACAGGAGGCTCTCTGCCCTGGGAGCTATGGCTCTGTACTCCCTCCCCTGACCCCTCCCAGGTCCTGTTCCATGTTAGATGTTGGTGCCCATGTGACTGCCGGTCCAGACAGTACACTTTGAGGACAAGAGATCCACCATTTAACACTTTATTTATCACTTTTGACACACAATGTTAACAACAGCGAACACATAAGGAGTAATGTGCAGACAGACATGAGCTGTTTCACTAAAGGTTTGCAGGCCAGGCTTTGACAGTGACCCGACAGGTGACTCCGAGCCTCACACTCCGAGGGAGGGAGGAGAGCAGGGCCCCCCGACCCCACGGATGTTCCTGTTGAGTCCAGCTTAGACTTTCTGAGTCAGAACACCCATGACATTGACGTTACTGTACCTATCACTCTGGTAAAGTGATACACTCAGTACTCCCTAACATTAATAAGATGGTGTAAAAATATATTGCATGTATATATAAATTTTATTTCCCTTTCCTGAAAAAACTTAGTACAAACTAGTAGTATATGATCCCTTTCAAGTTTCTTTTAAGTTGTGCAGGTTTCCTTTGTTTGGCTTGGTTTGGTTTTTCAAAAGTCTAAAGGAAGAGAGTTAACTAGAGCATCTCCAAGCACAGTGACCACTGCCAGGCACACCACCACCTGGGCCATGCTCTCCACATGCCCACAGACAAAAACCAGGCCCCTGAACCACCAGATTTCCTGAAGTGTTCAGTGGTAAATCAGTGGAAGGAAACTGTTCAGGGTCAGTGTTTTAAGGACATTCTAACCTATTAATAATTTCACAGTACAGCTAAATTGTCAACCTGTACTGTATTGAACAGGTGACAACAGGGTGCCCCCATGTGTTGTGTGCTGCAGGACAGGGAGGTACCCAGCTTGTGTATAAATACCTAGGAGCACATGAGCCCCAGTGGATCCTCTAGGGCTCCCCCAGCAAAGGCCAGATGGCGAATATTTTAGGTTTCATGGGTCAGGGCGTCAACTCCCCAAATGCCAATGTCACTGCAAAAGCAGCCACAGACAGTACATAAGCACACGGGCATGGCCTGTGCCGTTAAAACTTTATTCACAGAAACAGGCGATTGTACTGGCCCAAGGTGTTGGGTTGGTGAGCCTCTGCCTGCTGCCACAGTCTCTTTGTCCATTGAGCGGATCCAACAGCCACTGTGGCCTGCCCGGAGCTCTCAGCCCACGGGACATGGAGTGAGGAGTACAGGCTGGCAGCGAGTGGGTGCCAGTGGAACGCCTCCGCGGACCTTTTCCTGGCAGATCAGCGTCTGCTACAATTTTCATCTGTCTCAAAACTCAAGCCAGAGAATATTAAAGGTTTAAAAATACCCCAGTATAAATATATATCTTACTATAATATTTTAAAATTATGAAATTTGAACTTCGATTTTGGTAAAGCTAACTCTGTTCCTGACCATGGCCTAGTTGTGTTAAATAGAAATAAATAAGTCTTCTGGTATGATCAGTGTTCTCAAATGCATTCCTTCTACTGTTCTTTCCTGATGTTCAGACACTGTCATCACTGTCCTTCCCCAGGACCCTCCCTGTCTCCTGGGTGTCCTCCCCGGAACCCCTCCGGCCCCCCGGGTGTCCTCCCCAGAACCCATCCTGTCTCCCAGGTGTCCTCCCTCAGATCACGTCCTGTCTCCTGGGTGTCCTCCCCAGAACCCGTCCTGTCCCCCGGGTGTCCTCCCCTGGAACCTGTCCTGTCCCCCGGGTGTCCTCCCTCAGATCACGTCCTGTCTCCCGGGTGTCCTCCCCGGAACCCGCCCTGTCTCCCGGGTGTCCTCCCTCAGATCACATCCTGTCTCCCGGGTGTCCTCCCTGGAACCCGTCCTGTCTCCCAGGTGTGCTCCCCGAACCCGCCCTGTCTCCTTGGTGTCCTCCCTGGAACCCGTCCTGTCCCCCGGGTGTCCTCCCCGGAACCCGCCCTGTCTCCTGGGGTGCCTGCTGTGCAGTTTCTTTTGTTCACAGATAGACATTGAACTTGTATTGAACTGGTTAGTAGAAGCTGACTGGCATTGCAGAAAAACGTGCAGCACAGACACACACTGCCTATGTGTTCACAATATTCAGAACCTGATGGAGGGACATGCACGGGTGTGTCTGTTTTGTGCAGTGAAGTTGGGTCCAAGCTAATGTGAGTCTGGAGGCTGCACACAGATGCAATGGTGCACTCACCAGGTGACTATAAAGGGACAGCATGGCGAATACTTAGTCTCAAACCTACCCCTTGTTTCTCCTCCTCTGACAGAGGGGAGGGTGGGTTTTCAAAGCTATACTTTGACTAGAGAACGATGTGCCTGACGAAGCCTGGGGACGGGCAGGGGACGCAGGGAGGCCACAGTGCCTGTGTGGCCAGCAGGACCGCAGTGCCGTAGACCTGCTCCCGGCCCTGGGGGGTAGGGAATCAGGCCCAGGGTATGGGTTCTCCCGTGAGCTGGGCTGGGCTGGGGAGGGCCGCCCAGGGGGAGCAGCTGTGTGCACTTGATTTCATTCATAAAACCCCAAAAGCTGCTGCTCTCAGGGTCAGCAGAGCATTTTGAAATTTCCCTCAGAAGTGACCAATAGTTTATCAAGTAGCTCACCTCCACCAGCCTGAGGTGGGTGGTGGTGCTGCTCCGCAGGCCGGGGCTGCTTTGAGGGTAGGTGGGGGGCTCCAGTTCTGAGGCAGGCGCCGTGGGAGAAAGCTGCTAACTGCGGGTGCTGCGGCAGCGTCCCCGAGGACAGGCATTCATGTTCCTTTCGCTCAGACCCCACTTTCCTAGTGTGCTCCTGGAAGGCTGGCCCTCGACTGGGGTTAGAACCTTCGGGTGGAGGCCGTTCTTGCCTGAAGACAACACTCTGTGACAGGAGATCACATCCTGGTGCTGGCACCTCTCTCCAGGGTCCAGCAGGCAAGGAAGGGCTGAGAAAGGCCTGCATCCATAGCAGGCCCAGGTGACATCTGTCTCTCTATGGGTTGTGGCATGGGGAGCCCTCGCCAGCAGGCACCCTGTAGTGGCCGAGGTCCTGCTGGATTCCAGTGTCTGTGATGATGGAGTCTGGGCTGTTCGCGGGCAGGAGAAAAGCGGCCTCAGACCAGGAGACCACAGCCTCTGGTGGTGGATGCTTCTCCACGTGGGGTCTCCAGGCCTGCGGAGGAGCCCTGTCTCTGCCACTGAAGAAAACCCTGCCGGCACTGGAACACTAGGGCTGTGGTTTGTGATCAGCTTATTGTCAAGAAACACTTTGCATGTCTTCAGACGCGTTTTCCACAGGTTACTCTTGCCTTTGAGTTTTACTCAAAGATCTAGCCTGGGGGAGGAGAGGGAGGCACAGGGTGGGAGCCTCACATCCTGGCTGCCTTTGATCCTCAGTTTCCCCACTGTGGAGTAGCCCAGCTAGGCAGCTTAGGATCCCCAAGTTAGAAACTTTCAAGACAATAGTGAGATTAGCCCTAAAAGCCTGAGCTCCATCACCTCCTGGGTTTTAATGCCACACGCTGAACTCCCATAACCTCAGAATGAAGCTGCCTACAGAGGCCACCTACATCCGTGAGTCGAGGCCACCCTGGGTTGCAAGGGGAGGCCGGTGTTTGAGGGGCCTGTTGGAGAAACAGTCACTTCAGAGGAGCCATATCCACTGGGAGCGCTGGCCCTGAGCTGGTGGGTGGGGGCCTTCCCCAGCCCAAGAGGCGACCAGCTCCTGTGCCATGGCAGTGTTGGTCCATGTTTCGGCCGCCCATGCTAGGTCAGGCTATGTGTCAGGGAGGGGGCAGAGCAGATAGTGGATGTGGCAGCTGGGCTCCAGGAAGCATTTTCCTGAGACTGCCGTGGACTTTTCCCAGGATCAGCTCCAAGACCATATGATCCAGCAGGTCACACACCAGACTCTGGCTGTATTTATGCAAAAGTGTTGCCTTGTGGCCTCTGTGAGAGTGCTCCCCTCCCCTCCAACCCCAGCATATGCAGTGGTTGTGTGGTTTCCTGTACTCTGGAGTTGGGAGAGTCCAGAGAGGCGAGAATTAACTGTAGAGGCTAGAACCGCAGAGATTTGTGCTATACTGTGAGCAAAGGGAGTAGCCACATCGACCACAGCCTCGAAGCCCTGATTTCAGAGCAGGGATGGGCAGAAGATGCCCCGCCACACGCCTGCCTGCAGGGGAGCCTCGGGGCCCACAGTCTTGTGACCTGGAGACGCGGGGACAGCAAAGAGAGTCACAGAAACAGGATACTCTGAATCTTCCCTGATCCGTTTTGACAATCAACACACAGTCACTGTTTCTTCTTCTTTCTAATTTTCTTTAAAAAGCAAAGTGAAATGGCCTGTCCTTGGTTTCCATTTGAAAGCTTCTAACTTCACACTTCAAATCACGTTCCTTTGGTCTACTGAGGAGCATTCTCTCACTGGTTCACCTGTCGCACATCAGCCTCCGCTGACATGAGCGCCCTTGGCACAGACCTGGTCCGTAGGCATGTGTGTAAGCATCTGTGTGTCAGTGGATGTGTGTGTGCATGAGCATGTGTAAGCATGTGTCGTGAGTGCACGAGTATGAGTGCATGAGCGTGTATGTGTGTGCAAGCGTGCACCCATGTCTCGCACACCTGAAGAGAGCCCTTGCAGACATTGCTGTGTCCTGTTTGAGGTTCACTTCATCTCACTGGTGCTGCTGGTTAGTGCATTAGTGCATGTTGCCCTCGTGGCTCCTGGGAGGGTCTGCTGGTCAGGAAGTCAGCACCGCCTCTGACAGGGTCTGTCCCACACGCTCCTGTAAAACAACTGCTTTTGCCTGCAAACCAGGTGGCCTCTGTGGTCTGGATCCAGGAAACACTTTGGAAAGGACCATTTGTTGACTTCCCAACATGGGACAAGGCAGGTGCATTAGAGAAAGGTCAGTGAGTTCAGGGGCTACACCTGGGGTAGGAGAGGAGCATGCTGGGGCCCCTGGCAGGAGGGAGGCCTGGGAGTCACCCACAGCCACTCTGCCCCAGCATCTGAGTTCTGCCCCAGTGAGCCCAGGAATGTAAAGAAGAGTGAGGTGATGTGGGGCCAGCAACAGAGGAAGGCCCTGTCCCCGGGATTGGCTACTTGCCCCCCTGCACCTTCTGGTCGTAGGTGCCTGCGTGCTTGTAGCCTGGCACGTAGCCCGACTCGTCCACCAGGTCCACGCGGCCGGCCTTGCCCTTGCCCCTGCCGGACGGGTCAAAGCGCTCCTTGTGGGAGCCTGTGAACTTGGTCGTGTCCGTGAGCCGCGACACGGTGGGCGAGGAGATGGCTTTCTGTAGGAGAGCAGGGAGATGGGTTAACTGCAGTCGAACCACAGGAGAAAGAATGGGTGTGTCAAGGGGAACCAGAGATGGGAGATTCCAACAAAGGGGCTGAGCCTGTGCACAAGGGACAATAAAGGCTCCTGGAATCCATTCTGGGCTCTGGGCCCAGGGAGATGGCCTGGGTCAGCCCACTCCCCGGGGATTAAGGCTTCCACCCCATCTTTAGGTCACTGCCATCTGTCCCCTAGACCTCATGGACCCTGCTTCCCAAGGGACCCGCCCACCTGCCGTGCTCACCGTCACTCCTGAGATGATGGGGGCCTTGCCCTCTATAAGCCTATGCACCTCTCGCACAGCCTCCTCGCTGCTCTTGTCCTTGAATCTCTTCTTGGAGAGCTCCTCCAATGCCTCCTTGAACTGCTCAAACGTGATGGTCCGGCAGGACTTCCCCCTGCAGGAAGAGAGGACTCAGGGGCACTGGCCACTTGCCTCACTGGGCTGGGACCTAGGGACCCAGTGACATTGAGGAACCCTAATCCTGCCTGGGGACCCACTGACATTGGGGGACCCAGCCCTGCCCAGGGACCTGCTGACCACAGCCTTGCCCCGGGGACCCCCACCCCGCCTCTCTCCCACACCAGAAAGCAAGTCTAACATTAAAACACAGAACACGCCCCTCCCCTTGCAGTGTTTACACCAAACAGTCAGTCACCATTGGCAACAGCAGCAAATATAAATTGTCTTGGAAAAAAGCTTAAAGGAAGCACATCCTTTATGAACAACTGGACATTAAAACAAAGCCGTTGTCTGGCTCTAAATGGGGCATGTGTGTGGCCTCCACTCAGGGAAGGACTTTCAAAGAAAAGTTAGGATGAGCAGCCCGTCAAATCTGAACCAAAGATGGTCCTGCCAGGGGCCACCACAGGCAGTCTGTGTGTCACGGTTACCACATAGGGACAAGAGGGGTGCACCTCCCAGGACACCCGATAACGTGGGCCCAGAGCCTACACGTCAGGCCCACCCCGTGGGACGCCCGCTGCCCCTGCCCAAGGGCTGCATGGGCCTGACCAGGGCTGGTCCAGATGAGCAGCACGGGGCCACGGGGCCGCCTGCAGCGCTTCATCCGCATGCCTCCTGTGGCAGCAGAGTGCCCCCGGGGAGGCCAGTCATGCAATTTCAAAACACTCTAAACTGGCTTTTCACCTTTTATAATGTTAACTAAAAAAACATTTTTGCCATTTTGACTGGATCTTCCCCGATTCAAAATGGCAAAAATGTTTCCCACAAAAGAGCCAAGGCTATGCCACGCAGCAAGGATCATCTTTCCAACAGCTGGACAGCCACAGGTAAAGTAATGAGCTTCAATCTGGGCCTGCACCATATACAGAAGTTAATTCAAAGTGAATCAGTCCTAAGTTTATTATGAAACCTAAAACTATAAAACTTCTGGAAGAACATCTAAGAGAATACTTAAGACCTTAAGTTAGATAAAGATGTCTTAGGAATTACACGGAAAACAGTCCATTAAAAAGAAGGATGACTTGGACTTCACCAAACTTTTTAAAACCATTTTCTTCAAAAGACACTGTAATGAGGAGACAAGCCACAGACTGGGAGAAAATACTTGTAAAACATGTCTGATAAAGGACTGTATTGAAAATACTATATGAAGAACTCTTAAAACTCAAGGAGAAGAAGAAAAACTCCAATGTGAGAAATTGGGCATAATATTTGAACCAGACACATGACCAAAGATCTGAGGTTGGCAAACGAGCACATGGAGAGAGACTGCACGTGTCCGTTCCCAGAGAGACACCGCCCATCCACAGGATGGCCCAGGTGACTAGATGAACATGACGACATCCCCAGTGCTGGGAAGCTGCAGGGCTGCTGGGGCTCAGACGCAGCCCGTGGGGACACAGTGTGGCGTCCTCTACGGAAAGCTGTTTGGCAGTTCCGTAAAGGTCACCTATGACACGACCTCGAGACCCCACTCCTGGGTTCGCACTCAAGAGAAATGAAAACTTGAGCTCACACGTTATCGCAGCTCTACTCACAGTTCTACCATCACCAAGACCCAGAAATGGCCCAAGTCCTTCAGCGGTGGATAGACAAACATGCCTTGGCACATCCCTAGGAAGCGCACGGATTCCCTCCCATGTTACACGTGTGTCTGAAGACCAGGGATGCTGACTGAGGCGCCCAACCTCACCCCTCAGGGAGGCCATTGGGAAGGAGGGATGGGGAGCAGGCCCTCTGGGCACATTCAGAGCCATCCATCCATCCTGAGGGTGCTTGTGTGAATGAGGATCACAGGGCAGGGGCTGGGTAACGTGCTGGATTAGGGTTTCATTAGCCTCATGTGTTTGGTGGTGGGTTCTGCCCCTCAGTGCTCTCAGACTCAACACCCACAAGTGTGTTGAGGTCCACGGGCACTGAGGGCCATTCCAGGAAGCTGCCCTCGGCTTGGCGTGCCTGGAATGGTGTAAACACAGTCTCTTTTCTTACTCTCCACCCTGCTGGGTGGGTAACCTCCGGGGCCCAGAGGAGGCCTGTTTGTCCTGGGCTGTCACAGGCACTCCTGTCTCCTATTCATGGCCAGCCTGGGCTGGCATGTGGACACCAGGCCTGATGGCTGGCCCAGTGACCAACCACTAGAGCACACAGCCCTCTGGGCACTGCGGCACCAGGCGCCACCAGTGTGAGTCACTAAGGCCAGGGGTGGGGGGATGGCCCACAGGGACTCCCGTCAAAGGGCACATTCAGATTGGGGTGGGTGCACAGGCCCAGGGCCCTGACTTGCCCGCTCTACCTGGCTGGGCCAGGTGTCCCCACTGTGACCAATGGGTGGGTCTCAGAGCCCTCCCCAGGGAACCTGGTGCCCTGCTGCTGAGAGAGTCCCCAGGGAGTTCTAGAGTGACAATGCCAGTCTCTTCCCAGAGACACGATCACATTACGCTGCTCTCCACACATAGAGCGAGCCTGTTATCAAGAGTGCACACAACAGTGGTGTCCCCACACCGAGCCCCTCCTCTCCCCACCAGCGCCCTGCTCAGAAGGCTGTTGTTCTGCTGGAAAGCCAGACACAAGGCCCCTGCATCCCCTGGGCCTCCAGGCCCAACTAAGGGCAGGCAGGGAAGGGGCTGGGCTGGCTGCTCCTGAAGGTCACCCAGGGACACTAGGGGCCAGTCCAGCCCTCCAAGGACAGGCTCAGACCTGTGTGTCTCCCAGGCTAACACCACAAAGGCTCCCAGGCTTCTGCCAATGCATCTCAGGATGGATCACCATGATCTCCCAGTCCCCTCCTTGCCAGCACCTTCGTGAATCAGAGTGAACTGCACACTCCCAGGGGCCCCTCTCTGAGAGGCAGTGTCCAGCCTACTGGGTCCACTGGGGGTGAAGGGGTGAGGGGTGTCAGAGAAAGTGCTGGTTCTGCCAGACTCCCTTGACCAGCTGTAACTGGGACCTGGTGACCGGTCGGAGAGCAGCCTGGCTGGCCAGGATGCCACTGTGGGCAGAAAGTGGGGATGTTGAGGGACAGACCTAAGGCACTGATGAGGGTCAGAGAGCCAGGAGCCTCCATGACATTCCCACCGTCCCCTGGGCCAGTGGGATGTGGGGGCTCCTGGAAGAGCTGTGTCTGGTGGGGACACACCTCTGGGGGAGCCCTGCCTGGAGGATCTCTTGCTGTGCTCTGGTCAGGTTCTCCTGGCAGACACTCACCCTCATCCCTGCCCAGAGCCACCCCTCCGCTCACCAGCCCTGCCTGCCTGGGCCCAGCAGGTGCAGAGCTGGGAGTGTGGACCCAGCTGCGGTGGATGAGACGTGCTGACAGCCACTCAGATTGTAGATCTGGTTGCAGATGGACCAACCTGCCTGAAGGGACAGCTGTGATCCTCCCCCCACCCCTAACCACCACCACATTCAGTTACTGCCCTTAAGTAGGGGAAAAAATACCCTTAACGATCTTCCCAACTCTAACTTCGAGTTTGCCTGGTGCAAGCCTGAGGTGGCTTGGACATGCAGATGGGCTCCTGGGGCTAGACTTACCCTGGGAGGGGCAGGGTCTGAAAGGCTCTGGGTGGAAGCCACGGGACACCCTGCACTTCCACCAGTGGTCACAAGGGGGCCCCACAGAGAAGCTCTCCCCACCACAGCCACCTTGACTAAGAGACCCCGAGGCGAAGCTGAGAGCACAGCAGGGGACTGAGTGCACAACTCAAATGCCCCAAACTTACCACCAGCCTGAAGGGAGGGGCTGGAGCCCTTCCCTCCAGGAGCATGGCCATGTCAGCCCTCTGTGACACCCCCACCCCACAGATGCACTTTGCTGGGGCTCCTACTACGGGGTCAGCCTGCTCCAGATGCTGGACACCACTGGACAGCACTGGGCTCCAGGCCTGTGCTTCTATGCTGAGCTTCTGTGGCACACACACATCCATGCCTCAGGAGCCCCTGCTTCTGATAATTCCCATGTGTCCTGGCTTTGACTGTAGCGTATGTGGCAAGAATGGAGCAACTTTCCAAGTCTTCAGTGACAGGGAGCCCCGCCCACCTGCTTCCTCCTAACCTGGGACCCAGATGCCAAACACAAACACATGGGCTGAGCTGTCTCCCTGCACCAGTGTCACAGGAAACAGGTTTTCTCTGCAAGCACACAGCAGCTACCAGACAGGTGTGTGTGTGTG